TTTGGAGCAAAGGTTGAAAAAAAAATTTAAGAATTTATTTAGTGAATAATTTTTATTATTACTAACTTTCATATAATGAAAACAACGTATTATATTTGACATATCATTCAATCACAACTGGAAAACACTAAAATCTTATACATTTTGGTAAATTTACCTTGTATATAATTAATATAAATAATGAAGGACAATAATTTCGAGGCTAATTAGAAATCAAAATACATCTAGAAATCAAATATTCACATGCGTTCACTTTGGGTGGTTGAGAGTTAACTTTATTCTCAGTGATGTACATATAACATAATTTTTAATTGTTTATGCTAATTGGGTCACTATAATTTAATTTTGTAATAATTGGGTCATTGCCTATTAGAGTTGTCTCAATTTAGATCACTTCATTTAATTACATCACATTGTCTAACACCAGACATTGACATAACCATTAAATACTAATGTCCCTCATACTTGGCCGTAAAACAATAGAATGAAAAGGTTGTACAATCGAAAAACATTAGCCGTCTGGTAGAGCATTTTGCAAAATCTATCTAATTTTGATAGATTTTAGTGGATTTTTTGAATTAAAAAAAAAAAAATCTAAGCCTAGAATAAGAAAGCTAGGATATAGGCCTAAATTTCTTTCTTTCTTTCTTTTTTCTTTTTTAACAAAATATCAAATTTACTATAGAATTATTTTTGCATAATTACATTTTTGCTTCTCTCCATTCATAGATAGCACTATTGGAAAGGCAAAATATACTTAAATTTCTCAATCTTTACTCATTATAGCATTTATACCCCTAATTTCATGATATTGATCTTATCCTCGAACTTTTCATTAATTAACACATTTTATATTTTTAAAACAGTTTATGTCCAAAAAAATCCGTTAAAATAGCGTATACCAATTTATTTTCCCATTATATTTTAAAAAAATAAAAAAAGTACGAAAAATATTTTTTCTTCATTTAAATCATGAAAATAAAATATTTTGATATAAATCATCATTAAGGACAAGATATACTAATTAATGAAAGATTGAAAATAATAACATGGTATATTGACCTATGGAATGCCTGAGTCTTCTTTATGACACAGTTGACTAAAATTCGTCACGATATGTTGAATCCATCATGGGAGGACTGGAAGGTATAATTAATATTCTTGACTCAGAAGGAGGATTTGGCTCTCTGGAGATGCAGGTTCTTATTCGTTCTAATTCTATTGAGATTAGGATCTAGTCAAGTCTGTTGTATTCTATTTAGACTAATTTTATGAAATTTCAGCTTCTCCCTGAGCAAGCAGCAAATCTCATGAATTTGACATCTAGAGTATCAAAATCCCCGAAAGTGGCATATGGGTTTCAATACCGGGCTATGAGAGCTATCCTGAAAATGATAATTCTATCAAAATGTAAGTTATTCTCAACTAATTATACAATTTGATTTTACATCATGAAAAAAAATACTCGAGATTCAAGTTTCTCAATGTATGAATATTAGTCTGGTTGTCTAATTTGACGACAGGTTAGAAGCTGCAATGCAGAGGTTGACAAATCTTTGCTCAATTGTGAACGACATGGAACCTATCTGCGTTCTGAACCATGTTTTTGTACTGAGGGAGGTAAATGACTGTCATCTCTCCGCATCACTTATGGAATATAGACATGGGGATTAGATCCACTGATAAAGAGTTAAAAATAAAAAAATATATTTTTAAAAAACTTATGAACAGTAACATATTTCTTATTTTCATGTAAAGGTTGATCTTAGGCCATCTTTCACGTGGCAAACGTTCACAAGGCTATCTTGACCAGTGATAGCTAGTGGAAAACTATAGATATTCCACTGAACTCTTGTTTACTATGATGTAGTACACTAGTACATGAGGGACTGCATCCTTGGAAACTTCAAGAGGAGGTTGCTTACTGTTCTGAAAACTGATAATGATCTTAAACGCCCTTCTGTGCTAGAATCTCTTATTCGCAGACATACTGCTATT